CCTCATGTCAAGGACTGTATAACTGCTTTTATCAAAAGTCACAACAGGGAGTTGGGGGGGGGGGGTTGGAAGGGGAACTACATAATTTGGCAGTAGCCCAACATTATTGGATCACATTGAGCAAATGGAAAGTCCAAAAGTCTTTCCCCGGCTACAAAAAAATGTAAGTTGATAAGAGTTGAAAAAAGAGCCAAAATGAAAGGCTTTGGAAATCATGTTGTCAGCACAATCATTTGATCTAGTTTGGAGTGAGCTTTGGACCTTCGCCATTATTTAATCCCCGACTGTAGGTTTCAGTGTATGTACATAGAAAACACATGATAATCGGAGTTATTACAAGATGATATGTAAATCCATGTATTATTTCTATTATTAAATTTGTTTTACCAGTTAAACTGAGTCATTCGCAGTGTGTTTTGGACCTGAACATTTACAGGAGGTTCTCGACTTCAGGGTTCCACTGCTCCTCAATTTTTAAAACAGCAAAAGAGTCTGACTTGCGCTTGGGAGCCATGATGAAGGGTAAAAAGTTCTCAAAGATAAAAACAATGTATGGTGCTCAACAGCCAACCTGTTCTCATGCAAAACTTGTTCTACCGCCGTATATCCACACCTGGGGTCAAAACGAGATTTTCCAACTAACTTAATCCTAGTCTGTATTTCATTGGACAGTAAATGAAAACACCTCCACAGCCCTCAGTGTAACAGTACAGTAGACGTGAACCACTTAGCCTCTTGTTGTGAGGCAACAGTGTTCTAACTGCTCCCTTTGGATTTGGTTCTGGAATCATAAAAGAGTCTGGGAACTTTAGCAGGATTTTTAAAAATGAATGTCAGTAACCTCTGATATTTCAGCACTGAATGTCAGTCTGGACACTGTCCTGATCGTTTCGACAACATTCAGGGTGTGCGTTTGTGGGTACGTGCCCGTGTGTACTGTATGTGCATCACAAGTGTGACTGTCAGTGTAAAAACATCACACTGTTGAAGTATGTGAGTAAAACAAACAGAAAAGTGAACCATAAATGACATGTACAAAAACATCAATAGTGTGTATCTGTCTCAGGAGGGCGAAGGTGACAGCTAGGTTAATTTAAAAACGAGAGATAAACGGCAGAACCTGTCGGTTCGTGCTCTCAGCAGTAAAAGCTGAAATGAAAGCCTTCAAATGTGTGTTCTTATCAGCATGTGTTTTGACGATTGTCCGCAGATTATACAGAATGTCGGTAGTAACAGGTTTGAACCAACCAAGAAAAAAACCCACACTGATGTCAGCCATTTTTCTTTTATTATTTACCCTTCTTCGAATTGAATTTGGAAGTGGTGCAAATTGTCATTTTAAATGTATTTAATTAAATTCTGATGAAAAAGATGAGAAGAGAGACAGACAAATAGATAGATAGAACTTTATTAATTATTCAGAAAATTAAGGTAGTCGGGACAAAACATAGTTTTTAAATATGGTGTAATCACTAATAATAAAAAAAAGTGCTTTTATCTGAGTTATCATGTGTTCGCCATGGTAGTGTCTCCTGTTCCAGGATTAAAAGTATTGCTATGGTAACAGACAACCTTGGGCACTGTTAAATTGGTCAATTGTTAAGCTGGCTGAAATAAAACATTTTTATTTTTTGGGTTTGGGTAAAATAATATTTTCACATAATAATAACAATATTAATACTAATACTACTACTAATAATAATCTCAGTTGAAAAGGCACAGGCTCACGTTAAATCCTTAATCAGGATGAACAGGTTAACAGGTGTGAGGAGGAGGAGGGGGAAACTGGGCGGATCCGCTCCTGTGATTGACAAACAGAAGTGACAAATCCCACGTCCCACGTGGTCCCTGCTACCTTTGTGCCTTCGCGGCGTCCTTCATATGTCGGCTGCAGACGCGGAGGACTGGCAAACGCAACTCGGCTCTCGCTTCACGGGTCTCCGTTGGCACGTCCTCAGCTGGTCCGCGGTCCAGCCCGGAGCTTCTGGCTCCTCCCAGCGCTCATTAAATGCTCGCAGTGCACACCAGTCAGCTGCAGACGACGGCAGGCATGACCGAGTAAGTGTGGACAGGACTTCTAACAACACCACCATCCTCCTCATCTTCATCAGTGTCCTGGCAGCGGGCAAACGGCACAGCTTTCTGCAGCATCATTATCCACACAGCCAGTATGAAGACCATCCTAGCAGCCTACTCTGGCGTCCTGAAAGGTGAGACTGAAAAACAAACAAGAAAAAGTGACAGAAAAAGCAACTGGAGGCTTAATAAGGTTAAACAAACAAGAGAAATTCCTAGAAGAGGTCAAAAACAGCCGTGTGTTTGTCAAACCAGCTTTAGAAAGCACTGTTATTTTAACAACCCAAATGATCACCCTAGAGTCACATTGTCAGAGCTAATAACTCGTTTTTTCACCACATTTTCTACTTTTTTTTTTATTAATTGAGGCTAATAAATTGTTTTTAATTTAAAGTTTTTTTTCTCCAGTCTGTTATCTTTGTACAACAGTCTAAAATGCTGCAGGTCTGTGTGTAGCGTATCTCCAGTGGGCAGTCAAACGTTCTGACCTGTGCGTCCAGTCCTCTGACTTTGACAGCATCAGTTCCACCTCCAGAGTTTACAGGTTTACTGCTCCTCGGTTATTTGCAGTGATTGGATTAGAAAAGTGTTTTCCTGCAGGGGAGATCTTCCTACTTTGTTGGTGGTATAAGCCTGAGCAGCCGTAGTCCCTCTGATAGTGTCCATTACTGCTCCTCCTGGTCACCAGTGTCTCATAACACTGCGTTTAACTCCGCTTTCATGGGCTGTTGACAGAAAATAGCTGGTGAGTCGCTGGATTTCTTGTGACCTTGGTGTGAGCTGGTGTGCGTTCTGATGCAGGGCAGCTGGGCGTCAGTGTTTAGATTTATTTGTTCATTCTGTGCTTGTTTCTCTGTTTGCTACAAGCAAAAAAAAAAGCTCTCTCAAAATATATCTTGTTTAAAATAAAAAGCAGGATTATATGCACCTGTGCATTGTTTTAATAGCAGTATTAATGTGCATTTAACTCATTTTAAATGTACAATAACAAGGTACGCTCCAACATGTAACTAAGGCCATTTTATACAATGGTTAAAGTCTGGGGTCCCTGCTTCATCTCTCCGTTAGTTTGGAGTTCATCCTGTTGTATTATACTACACTTACAAGAGTGACCATCCAAGTCTTCCCTCTGTTCTCATGAACTTATTCCCATGGCGCTCCATCTCTGTGTTGTGTTCAGGGACCGGCTCCAGTATCCTCTCTGCCCTGCAGGACCTGCCCGTGGCCCTCTGGCCCTGTAGATCCAAGATGGAGAAACATCTCCAGGTCCTGTCTGTGCTGCAGTGGGTCATCAGCTTCTTAGCCATGGGTAAGAACGCAAAACTAACGCTGTGAGAAGACAGAGCAAAACTGTGTGCTGTGAGTCTGGGACCAGTTCAGAGTCATTACAAACAGTCAAGTCTGGATGATGAACACCTCTTTGTTTTTGTCTCCTCTGTCACCCAGGTGCTGCCTGCACTGTGTTGCTGATGTACATGTTCTGCACTGACTGCTGGCTTATTGCTGCCGTGTACACAGCCTGGCTCATCTTTGACTGGAACACACCCAAACAAGGCACAGTATTTAAAGATCTCCAACAGAATAACCTGACCCAAATATTAAATTTCCATCAAGTAAGATGAAATTGCAGATGACATTTATAGAAAGTACACACTGTGTGTACAGATTTTTTTTTAATTTTCTGTTAAATGAAGCATCTCAAATGACAAAGTGTGTAATGGAACAAGAATGAATGCCCTGATCTGTCTTGGTTTTCATTTTTATAGTGTATAAACAAAAATACGTTTTTACCCTTAAGGATTTAAGTGAAAAATTTGACATTTTATCTCTGATAACTAGTGACAAAACAGGATCGCTCACTGTTAATTTTGTCAGTCACGGAAAATAATGGAGTGCAAATACTCTTTGCTCCATTGGTGAGCCCTGATGAAGCATATATAACATTAAAAAAAAAAATTTAACAAGACAATAGTTTTGATTGATATTTACATCAGGAATCAGTCATTTTTATTGTACTTTACCATGTTGGATTATTTTGTTTTACAATTGTGATTTTAATGATAGATGAGAGCTTCTGTGTACTTCCACACAGGATACTGTTGTGTACAGATAGCAGTCTCAGATATATTCATTCATACTGTGTGTAACTTCTAGACATTTTTTTATTCATACCATTGTTGAAAAACACGTCGTAAATTCAGTTTTTAACTTGTGTGTTTTGCTCACTTTAAGTCTCTAAGATGTCTAATAAAGTGTTATTTTGTCCTCAGGTGGAAGAAGGTCTTCGTGGGTGAGAAGCTGGACAGTCTGGACATATTTCCGAGACTACTTCCCAATCCGGGTATGTCATTTTATGACTCATTTTTCAACTCCTAACCCTTGAAAATGTGGGGCAGAAGTACAGTGGATTATGTAAAAAGAGCAATCATAAAATCCTTATGTCCCTTCAGCCTAATGTTTGCTCTCAAGCTCCGTCATTAATTTTCAATCACGTACAGGTTAAATACAGTAGAGAGATAGTGTTATCAGGAGTGCAGCAGGTATCAGCTGTCCGCACCATGCTGCTCCTTGTCCCTTTTTGATTATAATGAAGATTTGACACTGGTTGTGACTTCCAGACTTTGTCCTTCTGATAGGCTGAGAAACATGTTTTGTCTTAGGATTGTTTGTAGGTTCTGGACCGTGTGTTGGAATTAAAATACACAAGGTCAAACAGGAGTTTGTTGTGAATGATGAAACCTTCACTACGGAAGCCAAAGGTTAAGGTTAGTTGGGAGAATGTGTCGCCAGATTCACTCCATTGACAACAGTATGGACATTAAGTAGTAGTTAAGTAAAAAAACAAACACGTTTGTAAGACATGTTTTGCTATAACTGGAAGAAAATGTTAAAAAAAACTATAATATAATTGTAATAAAATTTCAAATCCCAATTAAATTGTATTATTATTATTATCATAACTATTATTATTATTGTTAAAGAAACAAACAGCACTTGTTGCAACATATTTTCCATACTATTAAATACATTATTGAGTACGAGGCCTTTTTTACTACTTTGATGCCTCATACATTTTCTCTTTTCTAGTTTTGTTTTCTGTTAGACTGTTAGAACAATCTGCGGATGCTGACTTGATTATCATCGCCTTTGTAAATACATTATTCATTGTAAAAACCTTGTATCAACTCGGTGTAGTTCATGTCTTTGTTCAGAGTTTAGCATTGATTTTCACATGCACCACCCTAACTGACATATCAACACTGCTTATATGTTAGATTGGAAAATTGACGAGTGTATTTGTAGACCGCTGAAGGCTCCATGCTACGTCCTCCTGACTCTAGCTGAACTTTGTTCCTCCCATTGATCTGTACTGTGTTTACCAGGCAGCTGTTTGTCTACACGGACTAATGATATCATTCCTGAGTTTCACACAGGTTCAATACTCAACTCTTTTTTTTTTTCTTTTTTTTCCCAACCATTTCATTTCTAGATATTTCTACTTTCTACTTCATTGTAGCAAATTCACTCAGAACCTGCCACACATGCAGCTGTGACTGAGAAGAGTGATAATAATAGTTACCAAGGAAAGATTAGCCAATGCACAATTTTGTCAAGAGTCAATTTTCTGTCCACATTTTTGGCTTTTTATTAGTTCACAGGCAGGAAAATAATTATGGATTAAGTCACTGTGTGGTCGTAGTGCAGTTTTCTGTTTCTAAAATGATGGGTCTAATCTAACTGTAAATGTGGTTAGTTCTATCTTTGGAGCCCATGATGGCTTGTCATTATCTTGGCCAAATCTTTTTGTTTCTCTAACAACAATAGAAGTAAATGTCTGGATGGCTGGATGGTTGGATGCCCATTACTTCTTTGTGGGTATAAATGATTTCCAAGCTTAATTTTCAAAATATTTTCAGCATTAAATTGTCTTTTTCTGCAATTTTTGGGTGGAATATTAGTTACTGAAACTGTTCTTCGCGTGCAACGGACTCACTGACCCCCGTGCGATCGTTTAGATTTCTCACGTCACTCAGGTGGTTTCCAGTGGTGCTCTGGAACTCTTGATCTGCTTTGTTAATTTTGTTAAGCAACTGTTGGTTCGAGCGCCAGAGGCAGTCTACGCAGACTGAGACGGATCAGAATTTACAATGCAGATTAGTTCAGAACGCGCAGTTTCACAGCTTCAGCCCAGAACAAAGGTTGGACTGATTGTTCTTTATTGCCACCCCGATTATATACTGAGTGCACATCATACGGTGTGTACTGTCTGCCCTGTCTCCACAGTGGGCAAGTAGAGGAAACATACTTTGCTTTACCGTATTATATCTTTGCAAACATGGTTGGTTGTGGGTGGTTATAAGTCAGCCTTCTCATTCAGATCAGGTTGCCATATTAATTTGCATTAAAGTACCATAACGACAGTCTTCTTTCTCACCCACTCACACTTTTTGTTTTCTGCCCTCAGCTAATTAAAACCCACAACCTGCTGCCCAGCCGGAACTACATCTTTGGTTACCATCCCCATGGCATCCTCTGCTTCGGCGCTTTCTGCAACTTTGGAACAGAGGCCACGGGCTTCTCTAAGAAATTCCCAGGCATCAAGCCCTCACTGGCAACGCTGGCAGGAAACTTCCGCCTCCCCCTGCTCAGAGACTACCTGATGTCTGGAGGTAGGATGTCTTTTAGAAGCAGCAATGTATTTTTCTGAACTCTGGAGTCGTACAGTGATAAGTATATCTATGACAAGTTCGACCTTTGTCCTGTTGCACAGCTGATAGAAACTACGTCAGCTTGAATGTGCTTCAGCCTCTGTTCTATGTTCTGTGTTTGCTCATGGACTCTTTTCTCTGCTGTGTTACTGTCGGTTATTAGCATTTTCGTTTTTTTTTTTTTTACATTTCTCGATTATGTCACGATTATTCAAATACTACGACCCTGACCTTTTTATTTTTTTCTCCTGTTAGGTATCTGTCCAGTAAACAGGAACTCCATTGATTATCTACTGACACATAACGGGACAGGAAACGCCGTAATCATCGTGGTGGGGGGTGCAGCAGAGTCTTTGCAATGTACTCCAGGCATAAACACTGTAACTCTGAGGAATCGTAAAGGCTTTGTGAAGCTGGCCCTGCAGACGGGGTGAGCTGCTCGGCGAACAACTGAATCTGTTTTGAGCTAGTCTGTCTCAATTCCAATTCTCTGACATTTTATCCCTAAAAAAAAACAACATTTTTTTCACTTGCTGATTGAAGTTTGATTGAAGCTGATTGATTGTGTCCTCACGTAGAACTTGCGAAGCACAACAACATTATTTTTAGTGATTCCCACTCAGGTCTTGCTCAGGATTATCACTTGCACTGGTTTCCAAAGAAGCTTAAGAGTTTGGAGAAAAGCAGTGCAGTTATGCAATTAAAATAAAACCATGCATTACTGCTGAAGTAATCTGAGTCTGAGAATTAAGGCCGCCTTGGGTTTAATGTTGAACTAATACGGTGTAGCTTTAAGGTAAGATCATTTCCAAACTGGTTGTTACTAGTTAGCATCTAAAATAATGGCAGATCATTACAGGTTAATGTAAATGCACAGTATGTTAGAGTTAGTGCGTTAAATATCACCGCCTAAATGCACAGTATGTTAGAGTTAGTGCTTTATTGAATGGATAGTTTTAGCTCTGGGTTCAGGAGAAAATAAGAAAGATAATGTTATCTTTATCAAAGATAACTGCCTGAAAAATCTTTGTTTAAATTGTATTTTATAAAGTGTAGTGTAGTTATTGTGGGTGCAGGTGGATTTGAGAGGATTACAGACCATAGCATAGCTGCCCCAGAAACTCTGAAACGGAACCCAAACAGAAGTGTTGAGGCCTGATTGGCCTGATTATGATGACATGTGATGATTGGCATTTTAAAGCCATAAGAGCAACAACTATATGTTTAAAAAAAAAAAAAAAGAAAAGTTTGTAGAAGGCATTTAATTTCAATGTATAACGAAAGATAACCCTTTACTACACCACTTTAGTTTAATATGAAAAATATTAATGTAATTTTACAACTTAAATGTGTAGAAAGCTTTAATGCAACTCAACACTGTTTTCCTCAGCTCTGACCTGGTTCCGGTTTATTCCTTTGGAGAGAATGATGCCTACAAGCAGGTGATCTTTGACGAGGGAACCTGCTGGAGAACTGTGCAGAAAAGATTACAGAAACTCATCGGCTTTGCACCTTGTCTTTTCCATGGATGCGGCCTCTTCTTTGGTGACTCCTGGGGTATCGTGCCGTATTGTAACCCCATCACCACCATAGGTGAGTTTGAATGTTTGTAATGTGTGGTCAAAATACAACAAGACAAAACAGCTGAAATGTTAAGTTGCTGTTTTATCGGGATTCATTTAAACAGTTTTCCTCTCCGTCTATTTCTGAGCAGTTGGGGAGCCGATCACCGTGCCAAAAATTGAGGATCCCACAGAGGTAGAGGTGGATCTCTACCATTCAATGTACATCAGGACTCTGCAGTGCCTTTTTGACAAGTACAAGACCCGCTTTGGCTTAAAAGAGAGTGATGTCCTGTACATAGAATGAAGGAATGATGTTTAGAGGATGCAGCGTTAAAGCTCTTCCGGCCTCTCAGACATTTTGTCTCTTGCTGACTATATGATATGGTTGGACTACAGACTCTGTACTGGAGCATGTTTGCTACACAAACCTTTGCTCTTTGCATTGTCTGTCTGGATGTGGCAGGTTTGAACTGTAGTGATCCTGTCCAGTTGTTATCGTCTGGTTTCAAATGTCTCACTTGTACATACTTACACAAAGTGCATCTTTGTTTCTTTTGCTGCCATTTATATGGCTAAAGCATAATGTATTTATCATCTGATCAGTGCAGAGGGAGGAGAGATCTACCAGAATAAATTGAGAAAACTAAAATGCAAGACTTGAAGAAGTGTGTTCTTTCACTTGCATAATTTTCCTAAAATGCACAAACAATGCAAATGGAGAATACCGCTTCCTGTTAAGGAAAATCCCAAAGGTTATTGAGCCAAAGACCTGTGTTGACATCACAGAAATGTGGATTTTCACTGTGTGTAATGCAGGCAGAATCTACACACTGTGGGTCTATGTTGTGAATAAGTGCCCATGATTGCACAGTGCCATAAAGTATTAATTTTGTTATATAATAGAGTGAGAAGCCTTTTACCCGCTTATCCCTCAGTTCACATTTATGATGCACTTTTTGTACTTTGATTTGAGGTGTTTTGTCTCATAAGAAAATAAGCCTTAAAATGAGAAATGTTTCAGGATGTTCATTATGCTGTTTCCACCCTTCACTCTTTTGTCTTGTTATTTTTCACTGTGGTTCAGGTTGAAGGGTTTGTGAAGTCTATGCAGTTATGTGGCTTTATGCTGCTACAGGTAAAATAAGGTAAAAGAGCTTTTTGGTGTCCAGTTTTCAGCAAATTGCTTTGTAATTGTGCAATGGATAATGGCTGGGAAGGAAGATTACATTGGATTCTGGATATGAGTTATTTTTGGATAACACTTGTACCTGCAGTATGCAAAATATGAGTATAAAGATGTTGAATGTGTCTAATGTGGAATTAACAGAAGTTTGTCATGTTAATAAAAAATGGAGTTGGGCAGGATGCTAGCTAAGTTGAGAATATGTTTCTTGAACACAAGATTGTAGATTGTGTGATATAGAGCAGCGTAATATCTGTGACACAGCAACACCAAACTGTATGCTGAGAACCATCATCTGCCTGTCAATATTTAAATAAAAATTTTGTATATTTTCAGAAGCACGTGTCATGTCTGGTCTATGGACACTTTTCACGCTCTCCAGCCAATTTATGAGATCAGCTGCAGTAACAACAGACCTCAAGAGTGTACGAGTGCACAACCAAAACACACTTCAAATTGTGCTTCAACAAACACTGCGAAAGCCCCAAAATGGTCATTATATGCAATCTTCTCACCTTCTCACATCAGCTTATATTTCTTTTGGAATAAAATGACCACTGGAGTCTAAATAATGTTTGGATATATTATTTTGTTGCCCTGAAGATCAATAAACCAACTTGGCTTAACTACACCACAGCAAAAGATAATTTTTATTCCTAATATGCAACACAGATATTCTTTATGGTTAATGCTGCCCTCTGCTGGTTTTTCCATTTTTGCAGTAAATGTGACAAACTGTGACGTTCATTAACCGTTGGACCAACCTTGACATTTTCTATACCATTTTCATCCATTCCATTTTTTTGCATTCTGAACTTTTATTTTATATTTATTTTATTTTTTAAATTTATTAATATATTTATATTTTTTATTTGTGGTATAATTTGCTAGCGTGTTTTTTTCTCTCGCTCTCTCTCATTTTTTTATTTTTATTTTTTTTACTTTTTTTCTCTTTTTACTTTAAACGCCTTAGAAGTAAACGTCACGTCACGGTCAGCTCCGTAACTTCCTAATTTTTTGCATCTTTGACAGTTTTCAACGAGCAGTTTCCGCACGGTTGAGAAGATAAACAGACGCGAACACCAATAGAAACGCAGCACATAGTCTTTAGGTCCCGCCTTTTAGTGACGGACGTTAATTTTAACAAATCAGAAGTGGCACCGTCGCACCACCTAACCGGAGACATCTTTCTGAGCCAAGTGTAGCTAATAGGCTGTACTTTGTTTACGTCCCGTTTGTTAGCTGACAGCTGTTGTTGCGCCTTCTGCACACAAACAGACGAGTCTGCTAGTCTTTGCGGGTTCTCTCAAGCTTCGGAAACTTTCACACAGTGCTTCTGGATGTGGAAAATGGCATGTTTTGATGAATGAGGGCGACCTGTTATATGACGACAGGAGGATGAACTCTATCACCGGTCGGGTTCTCTCCATCCCCGCCGCATCTGTCACCAACTCTGGAGCTTCATCCTCTCGAGCCTTGCATGTAGACCTCACCTCCCAGCAGGTACACACTGAGTCCGACAAACTCATTAGGTGCCACTGGCTACATTTACATGAAGCCAGACGTACAGCGCCTGTTTCAATTTGTGACGCCTCAGTTTACAACGTCAGTTTATAAAGTGGTGTCCGCAGAAACACACACAAGGCCTGTGAGGCTAACGAGTTAGCACACAGCTGATAACTTCCAGTTAGCTGACTGGAAATGACTGTAGCTAACAGAGCTAACAACACACACTCGGTGAGATCGGCCAAGCCGCTGCTGTGAAATGCACAGCAGATGCTTCCGTGGCTGTTGTGCTGTTTTAATCGCTTTCACACATTTCTCCAACACAGTAAGCGAGGCTAATGCGCTGCTGCTAGTGGTAACCTAAGTTGGCGTAGTGTCAGCATCCAGGTGACAGCTCAGTGCAGTGTAAACTGAACTCACTGCAGTACTAATATAAATTGAAGTGATCTAAAAAGAATAATTGTGGAGATGTTTAGATTCATGCTCCGATAATAGGGGACAACCTCATTCATTCATTTACACACAATGTGTGAGTGGTTTACTTCCGTGTGTGAGGCAGTGGTGCACTCAAGTGAAAATCAAGTGAAATTTGGTGCAAGTGTCGCCAAATGAAAAGTTTCCTCAATCCGTGCTGAAATCTATATTATGTTTGGATTTAAGATCTCACACAGTGACACAGCTTAAATCCCATATCTTCTGGTACCTTCATATCTTCATCTTAAAAGTTAGCTTGCAGTTCTTTAAATATAATGTAATCGGTGGTGTTTCCCATTTGTCTGGATGCACTTTGATTTAATCTGACATGCTTTGTTATTGTGGTTTCGTCACTGACCACGTTATAAAGGATGTAGTCTTTGGAAGCTCGGACTAACTGTTACACCGCAGTTGCACAAATGACTTCCACTTCCTACTCTCTACTTAATGAATAAGCAGACAAAAAGTGTTGAAATGATTGTAGAAGTTCTTGTTGACTTCTAAATGTTAACGGCCATAAGGCAATCAGTGAAATGTGTTGTCGTAATATGCTTGGGCTTCTTATCCTTTATATCATCTTTCTTAATTACCTTTCGATTCATCTGAAGCATGCCCATTTTCCACAAAAACTATAGGATTTACAACATGAAATTCTGAAATATACTGAATGTTGAGGTGCCCTGGTTGGAAGCTTACTTTGCAAAGCCAATATAAAAATATAGATAGATAGAGATATACTTTGTGTCCAGTTTAAGATTTGTTTCTGTTGGTAGTTAATCATTCGACGCATCAGTTGTCACAAGTGTGTTGCAGCCATGTGCAAAAGTACTATATCGTTGTTCTCCAGAGTAAACCTTACCCTGATATTGCTGTACTAGTGCTCCACTGACTTGCTAAATCAGGAGAATGTGTGTGTATATGTGTGTCTACTCAGAATTTATGAAAGACTTTGAACTCTGTTTAAGCTTGTATAAAAGCTGGAGTGATAACGTGTTTGAAGGCCGTACCTTCTCAACCCTACATAACAAAGCTGCAGGCATTGTTGCACACAGTATCCCGAAAAACATCATTTATATTATTATTTATAATATATGTCAAAGTCTGTGTCACATGAATGTTCGGTTGGGTAAAGGTACAGAAGAAGATTTCATTAGTTTTCATTTCATTAGCATCACAAGATTTACAGATGCTAAAAAAGTATTTATACAATTATATAGTTGAACAATCATTTTAAACAATCAAAACTCACATATAGTCAACTAATTACAGTTTTTATGTCATATGTCATAACTAATGATAGTTTAAGATCCTAACTCCATGTTTAATTAACAGTCGCCATTAGTGCTGGAGTGTTGGAACATGTACACTGGCATTTCAAAGGGGGTTGGGTGAAATGCTCCATTTGGAACATTCAGTGTTTTTGTTTCTGGGCCACATAATCTTAGAGGGAATCCCATGACTTAGATTTAGTTTCGCCTCCTGCTCAGCAGAGAAGTTCAGTAGAAATGTATTTCCTTGAAGTGGTAACTTTCCAAATGCCATTTTCGTTGATCGTTATACACAAAACACACGTCTTCTTCAGGCGTACTTTATTACATGTCATTGTTTCATGTTGAGGTATCAGGTTTCTGCTGAATCAGGCAGCGTATTATGCTTGGGGAGTTTTTGAAGCGTCTTATTGATTTCTCCCCTTAATGTGTCAGAAAATTGTCAAGTGTGGAGTTCTGAAACCGATCATTTGAATTCACATATCGATGTGTTGTGCTGAAAGTCATCAATCTCTCATTCTGATTTGCAGACAGTGATTTAAACCATTTTTATGCAGAAAGTGTTAATGCCTTTCTCATATGACTTTCATGACTGCCTGCAAAGTTAACAGGCCAATTCATGATTAGGTGAACTGCTGACATCATTCAGCTCACTGCCATAGTTGGTTTTGTTCTGTATGCCTCTCTTGTTACTTGTGTGTCTTTGGAGCAGTATTGAAAATGCAGTATTTGTCAATCGACGTCATGTGATTATTACACAGACTCTGATGTCTGTGTTCTTATTTTTACATCTCTAATATAAAATATGTCCTCACTGTCCTTCCATTTCTGTCTGCGTTTCCCCCTGTGTACAGAGACGTTTACGTCACCTTCGGAGCATTGCAGCCAGAAACATTGTCAACAGGAATGGTTCCCCACTGCTGGACACATACTTTACCCTCCACCTCTGCATAGGGGACAACATATCTCGAGGTTAGTTCTGACATCTCTTCACGTGGGCTCTGGCAATGTGTAACATTATATACACAAGTATGACAACGGCTCTCGTGACCTCAAGAGGTCAACTTTACATGTAATCAAATTAATGGTCGAGTGTCTTTAGGATATAGACCAGCAAAAATGGTGCAGTGAAACACTGTGTTACCTTATAGTACAGCTTTACATGGAAAAGTGCTGGAACTTTTACTTAAATCTTTGAGTGGCATGTTGGGATTTCATCAATGACAAATTTGAAGAAACTACTTTTCTTCAAATTTTAAACTTTTTGCTAGAGTACAAATGATGCCTTTACTAATAAATGTATAGTCTATTAAATTAATAAGTAGGGCTCAATATTACTTTTCCCAATTTATTATCCAAACCTGAAGGAAAAACAGTATTGTCCCTATATTTACTCTTAGGTTTATATACTTTTTATGAATACACTTTGTTCAATATAACATAAAAACTGCACCTTTCAACAACAAATATTCTGCACAAATTTAAAAAAGTCCCACAATGTGACTAATGTTATGAATAATCACTGCTGTTTAACAAAACTATGAACTCACACAGCATTTTTAAACAGACAGACCAAACAGTTCACTTCATCATCAGAAATGTTCAAACGTCCAACATTCAAAGCCATATTCCCAACTAAGTCGGCACAATGTCAAACATGGGAAGATGTCAATGTGTGATGAACGTTCTCTTAAATCCATGTTGTCATAATTTAAAAATGTAACTCAATTCTAATTCTTCCCTCATGCTGCATGGAGTGGTTTTTTTTAATTGTGTTTAATTGGGCTTTACAGAAAGTCACTTGTTGTCTGTGTAGCTCTCATCTCTGACCTATAACAAATCTCTTCCAAAACTAGTTTAAACGACTATCAAATATGTAAACCTCTTTGACCACTGTGCACATGACATGATATTTAATGTTCTGGATCAGTCCATGAAATGGGTGTTTTATTTTTCTCACAGTATTTTAGCCACGGTGCTTTGTTCATAACTGTTTTTCTTGTCTTTGCAGGCTTTTACAAAAGTGAAGTCATACGAGACTCACTGGTGAGTTAACTGTCAGTTAAATGAAGGGAAACACAATGCTTTGTTAATACTGACACAATGGCTGCTATTTATACATGACCTCTGCTCTTTATGAAGCCACCTTTGACCTCACTGTATGTCTTGTATTATATGTCATTTACAACATCACTTATTACTGTGTTTTTTTTGCATGATCAGTGGCGAGAGTGGAGCTTTTGCTCTTGAACTTTTGGCCTGAACCACAAGCTGACCTGTTGCTTTTTAAACATTATGTTGATAGCAAACTAAGTGTCTTTACTTAGGTTTTTGCTGGGGCCAAATTCCTCTTGCCGTATTTCGCATCATGCTGACGTTACAGCTTAAGTTCGCGTATCCTTCCTGTTAATGCTCATGCAGGGAAATGCTGTTCCTGTTTTCATGGCAGCTGCTGCTCTCACACTCCTCTTTGTTCAATCTGCACAGCTCTACTTCTGCTTTTGAAATCTCTCACAAAATGCACATATAAAACCCTCAGTGAGAGTTGGCAGTTTATTATTTTATATAATCGGGGAAATGCATAATCAATAAATGATCACTCCAAGCTCTAAATTGGAAGAACAGCATTTTGTTTAACTAAAAAAACGTTGCTTATGTGCATTCCCTTTTCCAAAGCCCTCGTTTTCTGAGACAAGCTGCTGTGAATCCGTGTCCACCTTGAAATTTGACTCCATGGGCTGATCAGTTTTTGTATTTTTTCATGAACGGATGTGTGTTTCTCTCATTGTTATCTCTCACGGGGATTTTTTTAGAATCCCACTTGGCGCAGCCTGGACTTTGGCATGCTGCCAGACCTGCTGGACACCTCAGTGTCGTGCTTTGTGGTGAGAATCTGGGGCGGACAGGAGGAACAGTATCAGCTTCTCATAGAATGGAAGGTCAATCTGGATGGCCTGAAATACACGGGGCAGCAGGTCAGGCACCACACGATAAATGCAGTGTAGACGCACGTACTTGTTTTGGAACTGTCACCGTGTGACCGCTAGTCTGTCGTACAGTATTTTCCCCTGAAACAGTATAGTATTCCACTCCAGACATTTAGATTTTTTTTTAAAATTGTGATAAGTGTAAATGTCGTTTACAGTAGATGAGGATCAGAGGTACTTTGGAGTTTTGGTAAGGTGTGGCAAGGTTAAACAGTGTGGTGTTTTAGCTAAATTAAAGTCTTTTCACCCCCTGATTAAAAAAAAAAAACAATCACAACTATAATTCTGACTTCTGATGGAATGCATTTATTATAATATAATTGCTTTTTTAAAGAGCATAGAAAACATAATAGAGTTGTCACACCGTAGATGATTAAAATGAAATGACCAAAAGATGGCAGTAAAGCAGCACAATGATGTAAGCTGACTTAAAATACCTAAAAGATGTGAAGAAGTCACTGCACAGGAATTTCTAGGCTGCAGATCAAGTGACAAATCCTACTTTTTCTAAAGAAAATCCTCAAAGCCAGACTGAAATATACTCAATACATCCTGGAGAAGACGCCACATAGTGGAAACATGAGTGTATTTTCTTTTTCAAAATAATTTAGTCGTTTGTATAGCTTCAGTATACAAGCTTCCCAAATGAAGCTACTGTGTTAAAGACAATTACATACTAAGAGGGGTCAGAAATCTACCCATATCTTTACACTTTATTTTGCTTTCTCTCCCTTTTAAATGAATCAAGGTAATGCTGAGCTGTCATTGAGTCAGGCAGGGCTGCTTAAATAAAAGGAGCTTCAGCTTCTATCTAATAAGGAAGAAAGTTGTTAAAGGCAGATTATTAGAGTATTAGAGGAACAAAAGAATTAAGGTTAACTTGGTGATAACAGTTGTGCACAGTAAAACTGAAAACTGAAACTTGGTGATAATAGTTGTGCACAGTAAAACTGAAAACTGAAGTTAGGCGCATTAAAAGATACGGTTGAAGAAGTCAGTCTTCTTGCCATTCTATGACAGTTAGAATATTTTCAGAGACAGAAACTGCAGTGTTTTATTCACATCCAGATGCCCGCTGTCCTTTGTTCTTTTCCCTCAGTCCATGCAGTAAGCCGCTCCTTCTCTTGCTTTGTCCACAGATTCGATCCAGGAATCCAAATGAGATCATATTTGGATTGAATGATGGCTACTATGCAGCTGACTTTGATCACAAGGTAAAGCTTTTTTGTCCATTCTCCAGAGCTCCCTGCATCATAATGGAATACCCAGGCCTAATCCCATTAGTTTATTTGCATTCACTTTGGCTTCTGCACTGACACACGGCCATGTTGTTGCTGCAGGATCAGTCAGAGCGGAAGAAAAACAGTCTGCTTCAGGTCGACCAGAGTTCAGTCAGGAACTCCTACAGTGTTTTTTCTTTGCTCAGGTAAGACTTACTGTACTGTATTATGCTGCCATTATGAAGTCAGCTACAGTCAACATGTATTTAGATTTTAAATGTGATTAGGTGTTTAAATATCACTTTTATCTACGGCTTTGTATACCTTTACATAATCTTACACTTTATAATTTTGTTCTCAAACTTCGGTCCAACTATAGTTTTGACAGAAAAAAGAAAAAAATCACTGTTGACAGATGGGACAAAAAAATTATTGACTTAAAATTATTTTAATATTGACTAATTAATATGCCTCTATACTACTCACTGGTTTTTATTTAAGTGCACGTCTTGAAATGTTGATGAACTTGACGAAGAATTTGATGTGCACCGCGCATTGACAACACAAGGGGGAGACAAAGATTGGCTGAAAACATTGCTGCCCACTAGCTCACTGGAACAGCAGTTAAAAACTCCAGGCGACAAACATACAGTTGTTGTTTACGTTTATATATGAACGTGGTCAAGGGTAAGCACTAGTTTGAGAATTACCAGGGCTTCCCCCGAGGGAAACCCTCTGTTAGCCCAAGTCTGCTCACGTAACTACAGTACGTAATTACTGCAAGTTCTGTAAAAAATAAATGTAGATCTGGAACGCCAGTTCGGCATTTCTAAAATAAGGTAAAGATCCTTTAATTAGGAGGAAACCTTCAGAAAATGTTCTTTTATAAGAATGTAATGGAGGGATGTAAATAAAAGCAGGCCTGTGCAGCGTCGAGAAGCAGGAGGTGTGCCAGAGCGGACTGAACTTCAACAGTACTCCTTCATTAGACGTGGTCATGTTAATATGAGACGAGGTTTGCAGATTAAAAAAAAAAAAGAGTAAAAATACAGTTTAAATCACACATTTTATGACCCCTCCTCTTCCACCCTCCCTCTTACTTTATGTCTCTCACTTTCCTTCGTTTACATCCTTTTTTTCTGTGCACACCCAGTGGGACTTAGGTTGATCCCCTCTTCCCTCACTCCACAGTGGCTGCTCCTCCTCCTCCTCCTCCAGTTTTCTCCAGGCTAACTGAGCTCATATGCACATGCTTTATGATTATGTCCAGTAGAATAATTCATCAGATACTGAACACTCCGACAGGGATTAACCTCCCACTGCTCACGGCACATAACCGTATATACTGTACCACTTTGAGAAGCCCGGATTTTCCACATGAATCTTTTGGTAGTGCTCAACTTCATTGGTGTCTATGGATATAAGCTGCATGTTGTGTGCGTTTGTTTCTTTTTTACTTTTGGATGTCACTCATGTTTGTTTATTTCCAAATTAATTATTATAAAATATCAAGTGGCCCCCACTATTAAAGCGACTGAACAAAAAAAAAACAGCCAGGACTCAAACAACTACCGCAGAATAACACCTCAAACATAACATATTCTACACTTATCAGTGAATATTTAATTAGTGAGATATAGTTGTCACAATTTTCTCTTACAATGGAGTAGAGGAGTTCTTTGCGCTCTTTAAAGATCCCAGTTCCCCCCGAGGGAGATCCCCGCTCTTTAAAGATCCCAGTTCTGCAGGGCTGTCAATCCTCTGATTACAAGCCTCATTTTCGAACCACTAGGCCACAAGCTGCCGCAAAAGAGGTCTCATGGTGTACTCACTGTGCAGGAGTCTCAGAGGTCTTTACCCAGAACAACAGAGTTGCTAATATCCTATATCCCTGCTCTTCTATTCTGGATGAGCCGCAGTGTCAAGTGCTGCTTTGGTTAAGACAAAAAAAAGAATTAGAGCTGCTTCCTGAAGGTCATCCCTGATCATGATTAATGGTCGTAATTTGTCAGCAGATTCACACATAGCCTTTTTGTCCAGCTGTAGATAAAAGCAGTCCCCTCTGGTGTGAGTAACATGACGATGTAGGCTTGTCTGTCCCAGATAGATGAAGATGAAGAGACACAGCTCATCAATCAGCCAACTCCTATTCACCAGAGACACAAGGTTAAGTCACAGCTTTGGAAAGAGTCAGACCACTGTCTGTATGAATGCAAGCTAAGAAGGTGCTGATGAAGATGAGTCAGCAGTCAGTGTTTTTGGGACAGTCTTGGATGCTCCGTAATGCTGTCAGTATTCTTCACATCCGTGTGTTTGAAAGGCTTTTTGTCTGGGCGTTAAGTGAAGAAGGGAGGCCTTGTAATACTGCTGGTTAAATGGGCTCTCTCTAAACCTTCCCACTTTTCACCAACGTTTTGCAATTACTGAACATTGTTGGTCGACCAAGCTGCTGCTTTCTTATAGCAATGACTCCTGTGACAACATGTTGAACGTTCGTTTGCAGGGCACGACTTTAACGGCTCAGTGCTGTGGCACTGCAGATTAAACCTGTCCAGAGATTCTCAGGCCTTTAGAGGAAATTGATTTTTTTTTTCTAATGATCAGAAACACATGTTGCCTATGTTTTCTGAATTGCTTATCTTTGCTCCTACCTAGAGGTATGCATGTTTGTACAGTATATGTCAACAGAAGCACTGAGGTGCTGTATGCAAGTGGAAGCATTTGGCTTCAGTTTAACATGGGGTTAGACTGTTGTCTGAAGAACAACTGTACTTTACAGAACTGATCTCTTTTAATGAGCATGACTGTGCAAACCTTTTTTTTTAATTTTCACCCCTACAGTAAAGCCATGGTGAGTTGATTGGAACCTCAATAGTACAAATCTTACAAATGCATTTTAATGCATAGACAGAAGGTCTGGCACTGTATATCCATTAATCCACTCTACTTAATTACTGTCTACTTAACATTGCTTTAATACACAGTCAATACATACAGAAAGTTCAGACTGCAGAGTAATGGCTAAACTGTCTGCAATCACTTGACAAATTCTACAATCTCAAATTCTACAAGTTCAGACTGCAGAGTAATGGCTAAAATCCACCAACTCTATGAAGCTAATGTTTGAGTTATCTTTTTGCATATTTTTCTATGTGAAACACAGACATCCACTTGCTGTTATGTGTTCTTCTGCTCTAGCAGTTGACAGAAAAAAAGTTTTTATCATATTAAGGAATGTTGATTTATATTTATTAGTGAGATTTAAAATCGTTATTGTTTGCTATGTTATTTATCAATTATTTGTCAAATTAAAATGACAGTTTCTTTTGTTTAAATTATATATTAAATTCAAGTATATAAATATATTATATTACTTGTTTTTAGGTTTGAAATTAAATTCCTCAGACTGTACATTACTGGAACTAGCATCAGTTAATTATTTAAATTGTGACAGAACAAGGACATGTAGTCTGAACTGCAGTGACTTAAATTTTCCTCACTTAAACATAGTTATCTCTCTCTAATAGAGAGTTAAATATCTTTTCATGTCCTCTCTGTTCGAGTTCTTCTGTAAATATGGCTTACAGGCCCCAGGAAAACCATGTGCCTGGAAAAGCACATGTGCTGATTGGCCAGAGACACTTCATTGGGCTGATCTTATCTTCTGTTGCATGGACACCAGTGACCAGAGCTGGGTTTAAACGGCTCTGGTTACTGGTGTAAGCTTACCACCTTTTTTTCTTTTGCCCCGTCTTCGTGTTTGCTGAATTTGAAAAGCAGAGCAAATAAATAGTCCAAGACTTTAAAGACAACAAATTATGGTAATGTCTGGAAAGAAATCCACTTTTTTTTTTGACTCATCCAGCCGCCAGTCACACACATCTCCTCCTTTCAACAACAAGAATGAAACGTTGTTTAGAGAGTTCGCTCCAACACTTCTGCACTAGTTCACACTAATGTGTTACAACTGTGGGCTGTTTTGCTCGACCTTGTGTCCAGTTCATCCCTAATCAGCTCCATCAGGTCTGGGCCTGGAGACGGTGCTGCCCTCCGTCATGTGAGGTCTGCATCTCATGTCAGTCATTGCTAAATGTTTTGGTGAATTCCGTTGCCAAGTCTTTTACCAACCATTCTTCCTTTGTGACTAGCGATTCTCTTGCCATTCTGATAAAAAGATACAGTACTGTTTACACAGCACTATATACATACTGGATACTGTGTATTATACAGTGTCAGAGGGTGAAGTTATAGTTTGTTTCAGCTGTCATGGCATTGTGGGTTTTTAAGTTGTCAACAAATGTCTGAAAAAAATCTTTCCAGGCTCTTCTTACTTGTTGTCTATTCTTTTAGAACAAAGTTTTATGTTCTAAATCATCTGCTGCTGCTTTAGCAGGAAATCGCTTAACTTGTTGTCTATCTGCTGCTGCTGCTTTAGCAGGAAATCGCTTTCGGATTTTTCTTTCTTTAAAGTATGTATTTACTATTGTATTTTTTAATTTTTTTTTAAACATCAGACAATTTTAAACACCTTTATTTAAACTGCTACTTTATTCAAAAAAAGACTTAAAGTCAACGATGAGTGTGTCGAAGCATGTTGAAATTCTTTCTTCATTGAAAGTTATTATCAGTGCTTTTAGTAGAAAGTTTTTCCACCGTTGTGTTGCCGTTTTTGTCCGCTGCATAGGTGTGATGCAGTGGAACATTATCCTTAATTTGTGACCACTGTTTTCTAAAAGCTTGTTTTGAATTGGTTAATTGGTTTCCCTGTTCACCCTGTGCCGGTTGAGAAATGGTTGCTGGAAATGAATTCAGTGAAGTCATTAGTCGTTGGGCTTGTTTCCTCTGACCTGGGTTTGTTTGACAAGTGCGTTGGGCACACTCGCATGTGATGAACGGCTGGAGAACGGGCCAGGCCACATGACGTTAAATGCATTCAGAAACAGCTTTGGAAAGGCAGCAGCATGTCTATTGGATTTTAACCACTGGAACATTTGCTGATTTGATCAGTGTTATCTGATACAGGGCACCTCTGCATTGTGGTCTGTCCTTTTCTCCGTCAAACGCAAAAGATTTTGATGTTAGGTTAACTGTAATACCCGAAAGAAAAGTCCCCCAGTGATACAGAAAATGAATTGGGAAATTTCCTGTAAATAAAAATGACAGAATGTTTTAGGTTGATAAACTTCAGATGTCGTGTTGTAACACAGGAATTTAGATGCAAATGAAAAGTTGTTTATGTGCCTCGTCTGTTGTGTGGGGTTGATGTGCCTTTTGTTTTAGTTTTTTCTCTTAAAGAAACAGAATATTCTCAGGTGTCTTTCTTGATTTCCTTCTTGCTTATCTCTGTGTGCCAGCTGACACATCTGTCCTTTCTGTTTCCTTTTTTCGGTGTTGATTTTCAAAAGTGCAGATCCTGAAACATAACAAAACATGTAAATCATGGCAAATATTTATTTTAGGTTAATCAGTAAAGGTAAATGGCTAAAACACAGGAAACCTGTGGTGGAGAGCGTTTACTACAGTTCCTATACCTGGAAAATTCTTTCTTTTTCTTTTCAAATTCTCACACAGTTGAGAATACATTTGAAAATTTCTCAGGAGACCTTGTGTTTATTAAATATTGAGAAATGTCCGCGGGAGACTTTTATCTCACGTCTAGTGCCACAGTCAAAAGATGTTCATCGCCACCAGAGATAAGCACACAGCTTCAGACATAACTTACAGTAATCTTTTGTGAATGAGATTTTCAGTAATTTTTAATCTTTACAAAAATAGAACTGCCAGGGCTCATCAACGGTTATCATGTGATCTGTGGACCAGTGCTTCTATTGTTAGCCTGAAGAGTGTGGAAAAATGCTGCCATGGTTCTCTGATGGACCTCGTCTGGTATTAAGTCTGGTGGTAAGGTGTGAGTCCCATGCTCAGGAAATGATAAGGGGCTTAGACATGCGTGAAAAGAAGAGAGAAGATAACTATTCTCACCTTGAGGGAAAAAGGCATATCAGGTTGTCCAATCACAGTCACCAAGAGAGAGGAAGCTGTCAAAACAGATTTACCCTGATGTTCCAGAGAACCATCTCCAGCTGCTATCACTGTTGCCTCACGTAAATTAAAACTATGCGGATGAAGACTTCAATTATTTCACCGTGGCCATGAAGATCTCCTCATATCATTAGAACAATATTTTTCTGGGTTCTTGCTCAGAAAGCGGCACTGATATCCTGAGATCACTGTTATGGCGTTTAGAACTACAGGCATCCAGGATTTATAAAGAAAAACTCAAGACTCAAGAAAAAGCCTCTTACATAAAACTCACACGCAGAGTTTTCTCATCAAACGTGTCCCGGCAGTGGAGGTTTAGATTCATTCCTTGGCTGCACAGCCTCACTTTACACTCACTGTCATTGGCTATTCCATCCTTGTGTTTATTCTCAGTCAGTTCCCCGTCCAACATGTTTGATGTTACATGTTTACTTGTCATTAAAGATCCAGCAGTGATTCAGGTAAGGGCATAAGGACTCACTGAGTCTGCTGGTGACACTCACACCAGAAAATGCGGCCTTGAAATGTCAAATTTTTAGCTTTAATGCAAGCTGCAGACCAAAGAATATATATTTACTATATAGGATTTAATCAAATAAAAATATTTAAAATCAAACCAGTTTTTATTTCCATATACTAATGGTATACTTCATTTAATACCATGAACAACGATCCTGTTTGGTAGTATTACCTAACCACTGTCCACAACGGCAGTGACGGAGCTGTTAAAAAAACAACAACCTCTGTCTTTGTGGCTTTTTGTTAGCTTTTTTTTGGACTGCTTTTGACCATTAAAAAATCACAGAGATTAAATTGTGTGTGTGATGTTTCTGTTATTTACAGTGTGGTCTGTGGTGTCCACCAATCTGGTGTGTCTAGTCCAATCAAATGTAGGGGATAATACTGCGACTGTTTCTAGTTGTTTTTGTCCTCCTATCCTCATTGCCAGAACCCATTAACTTTTACAGTTTCAGAAAGTCTGTGGTCTGGAACAAAGGATATTAACCACAGAAAAGATGCACAATGGATAACAAAGACTGCACAGTCACTGTGGAAGTAATGGTTCAGCCTTTGAGTATGTGACTTTAAGTGACTGGAAATGGATTGCTCTTGTGTCCCAATACTGACCATCATTTCTCTTTTAAATTTCTTCTGTAACTTTAGTGGTCTCTTGGGTCTAAGTGTTTTTTTCATGTGGTCTACTTTGTGGTGACAAACACTGGCCAGGATAATGACTTTGTCCTCTCCTCCTCTGGTAGGCTTCACACGGCACAGAGAGCCATCAAGCAGACGCAGGTGACGGTGCAGAAGATCGGGAAGGAGATCGAGGAAAAGCTACGAACGACAGCAGCCTGCACAGAACGGGTCAGCATCGTCACTCACTAGCAAATTTCATTTCTTAATTTCTTATCATTGTTTCCACTGTTTAATGCATTCACTATTTTAGTGCAAGGGCTGTTGTCTCTACAACCATCACTATGAAGTCTCACAGTATTCTAACAGGTCATTTACAAGATTTAAAAACCTGAAACATGCAACTGGAAAACACAGCAATGTCACATACAATCACACTATTGATTAGGGCTGTCTCATACAGCTACATGTATTTAATCAGGAAGCCAACATATAATGGATGTATAATGAATTAATTTATAAAGTATGTTCAGTTAATGTGAGTAAACATATATTCAATGTTTTTAATTGGATAGATCCCTTTAAATAGCAGCTCCTGACCCCAAAAAGATGGCCAAAATAGCCCAAATCCACAGTCCACGTTTCTGCCTTTTGTTACGTCCTCCACTGTGATCCAAAGCAAAGCAAGACAGCGTGTTTAACATTTTTGGAACTGGCATCCACACAGCTGTGAAAACGGAGCACTGATCCCAGGATTGACTTGGTGTTTATGGTAAACACACCCTTCAAAGCAGCCACTGGCTTCTCTGCTGTCGTGCTGTAAAAGCCCCGAGGCTGTAACACTTTGGTCTTTTCATCCTCCAGGTAGACTTGTCTGTGTCACATACCAGGATCACATTCCTCCTCCACAGACTGGAGTTCATTGTGGACAGCTGTGATATTTTCATTTTTTTGAATTATTTTTATTTTATTTCACAACAGTAGGAGTGAATTACTACATACCGGTGTTAGATCAGGATTTACAAAATACATCAATGAATCAACTGCGTTTAATCAAAGTCATTTTGTTAATTAAGTACAGCTCAGCTCGTTTATTTTTTTCTATTTCATTTAATATCAGTAGTAATAGTGATTGACCAGTGTACATGAAGCCAACAACAATTCCAGTTGTCCTTGCGTGTCCCGTAGCGTCTGCGTCAAATACAGAAACATTTACATACATTCATTTTTTTCTCTTCTTTTTCTCTCTCATTTCCTTCCACCTTTTTACAATATTTAAATCATTTGCTCAGTGAGCTACTTCACAGGCATTCACCGCTCTGCCCTCATGAGTCCAAGAGGAAGTGTCATTGACATTTCAATTACCTTCAGTTTTGATTTGGCCTCAGCTGTGTGTGATGTTTTACACAGATACCAAAATAAAGACTTTACAGCCTCTTTATTCAGCTGTTACAGCTGTTACTTTCCATTATGCTCCCAACTGGCTTTGGCTACGGCTTTTTCATTTCCCAGACTTCAGCCCATCTATTGAAGTTGTCCCACTATAGCCTTCTTCGGGCTCACCACAAAAACATTGAGGCTCCTTTCTCTGGCCACAAAAGATCCTTTTCAAAAGCTCGTCTCTGATACTTCCCCCTCAGTGAAATATTCATTAAAACCCCTTCCATGACTCGCTTCAAATGAATCACATAATCCTCATCTTCTACCTTTCTGTAAAAACTTGCCAAGTTGGAGTGAGGGAAGCATTGTCTGGCTCTTCTGAGGGTTTGTCTCAATGCCCCAGCAAAGCTCTGTCTGATCCTCCTGTGCGTGTCATTGTGTGCACGGATCAAAGAAGGACAAAGTGGAGGCCAGCAACCCCAGTGCATGGCCCTTTCACCCTCTCACCCACACTCTGCCATTGATCTGCTAGGTTATAACATGCGCTCCCTACGCCTGCTGCTTATTTACTCAGCTGAGCCACCACTGTTTGAAGTCCGGTAGGAGTCAGACGGGCTCTGCTGGTGGTTTACAGTCTCTCGCTCTCACACACAGTCTCACACGGCTATGACCCACTTGTCAACTATGCAGCTAAGTGAAAGTGTAGGAGGCTCCTGGTTCGTGCCAAAGCCGGTGGTGGTTAACATGCGAGCTTCAGGGTTCCACACACCACAGTGATGGAGGCTCTATCAGTCTTCACTCTGCGACTGATACCACTCGGTCTTATCGTGGCAAAACCCTCAGAAGTCTTCATGAAGAAGCATATCTGTGTTTTCTCAGATCCTGGTCGTGATCACTATCTCGGTGCATGCGTGTCAGAGTGAACATCAAGATGGGGATCTCTGTTATCCCGGGAGAAAGTTTCTATGCATCCCTCTATTATCAGTGTCATCCTCCATCATTTTTGTCGTGTTTCCTTCTGACAACTCAGCTTCAGCTCATTCAGACCGTGTGGCTGTTGACAAGAACAACATCCACACGGTCTAGGAATATCAGCTCTTGGATCTTCCTTTCCGTATCGTATCCATCACTCCATGAATTCCTTGAGCTCGTCCTCATTAGATGTTTAGCCCACAGCTGTTCTCCTTCTTCCAGGTAGAATCTAATTAATCAAAAAGGTATCATCATTACATTTTTTTTAGCTTAATATATATTTTATATACAGTATATATATCAAATATTAAATATACCGAAGATAAAGTGGATTAGTATTTTTAATGGCCAAGTGTTAAATAAAATATAGTAAATAAACAATAACTAACATATTAACTAACCCTTACCTTAGCCTTTTTACAATCGGAGTTCCAGCGAACTAAACTCTTCGGTCAGCTTTACTAATCTCAGAGCTTAGAAAGAGGTTTAAACTGCCTGAGAGTTCCTCACACTCCCTGTCATCTGTTGATAATGTTGGATTAATGTTGATTCGTGATGGTGGGTGTTGGCTCAGGGGATCAGTAAAGAACAGTGGGAAAGGGATCAGTCTGCAAAACAAACTCTGTTTTTAAAGTTGGTAGGAATTTTGGGTCGGGGCAGTTATTATGAAAGAGCAATAAACTGTGAAATATCTGTGAGCGTATGCATTTTCATCATCTCTCTCTCTCTCTCTCACCCCCTCCCCTCCTGCTTCCCTCACCCCTTAACCCCTACCCACATCGGTCTCCTCTATAGAAGAAAGAGCGGGAGTGCATGCAGCTGCGCATCGCCATGCTGCGTAATGAGCTGCAGAGGCAGAGGAAGGCGCTCGGCAGAGAGGTCGACCTGCGGCAGAAGGAGAGAGCACAGCTTCAGAAGAAAGGTAAAGCAGAGGGGTTTTCTACAAGAACCACCTAGGGGCTTATGCAGCAGATATGTACGTCTGCTAACGTTACACTGTACTGCATCTTTGTTGATCTACAGCATACACTTCAGGAAAATAATTGCACAGTATCATGCCATCAAGGCACCCTACAGTCGTACACTCAACACAAAATAATAAAAGTGAAAAACACTGAGCATTGTAGACTTCATTTTGTTCTCTACATTACTTTAATCTGCTGAAGTAAGGAGACTTAACAGATCCTCAATTAACTGACCCCGACTGCCCAGTTCAGTTTCTGTTCTTCACAGAGAACGGATTTTTTCTAGTGACGTACTTTGAAGTTTTTTTGGGGGGGGGTTAAAAATATGATTTGCTGCATGGGTTTCTTTTTAAAATCCATGTATTAAATCTATAAATGATATTAAAATAATATTATTTAACTTATGGCCAGTAACTACTAGATAATAAATACTACAGAATTTATTCAATTGGAGTTGAATTTTTTTTAATGTATTTTATAGTTAATATAGCTGTCATTTCAATTACTAAATCATCTTATTGTTCCTTCTGTGATTGTTCATATATCAACAGATCATGGACATACAGTGTCCTGAATTCTTACAAACATTTCCACTCTTCAGTCTGATCATGTACGGCCGCTGTTAATTAAATTCCTCAATTTATTGCATCTTTTCCATCTTTATTTTAAAAGCCCTAGCTTTCAGTTAACAAACAAACACCTTAAAATTTAGATAGACTTATTTTATTTTTAATTTCTCAGGGTTTTTTTTTACATCTTTTCCTCTGTTGTTGTAGTTGCATCATGCCTGCACCCGTGCTATTCTCTATATTTGGTTGTTAGTTCTGAGTGATATTTGAGTCTGAGTCATTGTCTTGGGTACAGAGCTGTCACACCCTTCAAGAAGCTTTCGAATAGAGGATCGACTTGTGTTTGACCCAAGGGCAGGGGACCTCACTCAGCTGCCAAGCCACAGTTAGGATTGTCTGTGATTAGCGTGAAAGCCGTCTCTGAATGCTGACGATCATTTTCTCAGACACACGGTACTAAGAGGGAGATTTTTTTTCCTTTGTGCTGCCGTACTAGAAAATGGCAGTTAATCCTCGGCCTCTTTTACCTGTCGCCCCTGCGTCCACAGCCCTGACAAAAGACGCTGCTCCTGCCCTCTTCATCTGCAGCTCTTTCATGGCTGCTCTCCAGGCCGGACAGGTGCTTATTAAGTACCGGAAGAAAAATTCCTTTAGCGTGGTCAAGAGAAAATGGTACTGAAAAACTAGCTGAAGAGGACTGTGTTGAAAAGTAGCTGGAGTTTTTCCCAGACTCATAACTTAGAAGCTAAAAGCCATATGCAGTGCAGAGCCTTTCTCTTTTCCCTGCCCTTTGTTTTTTTTTCATTTAGCTCACACATATTCATATATTATGCAATTGGTGGAAAACAACAAAAAGCCAGCATTAATTATAGCCAGGACACTCAGATATATTTTTTTCCTCGCAGCTGATTTTGTGTCTGATTATGTTTACACTGGCACTGGAACCTGTTTATTCCTCTGATCCTTTCCCGTGTTTTGCAGACATGTGATTTTATCAACTCAAACTTAAACCTTTTGTTTTTTTTCCAGCACAAAGTACACAGGATGTGACAGAGATTGCTTAACAGGCAAACAAGTGGCTTAGGGAAAAGTGATTTATAGTTTTATTTATTACCAATGTTGATTCAATTAGTGTTAAATTGGCTGAATTTCACACATTCCACGGTCTATGAGACACAGGTTTCTGTGGAAGTTTTATTGACACTTGTGTGTGAGTTCATCGCTATGTAATAAAATCCCCAAAGAGTATCTCATATGGACTTAATATCCTTTTCTCAGTCACGCTTTTTACAATGTCATCTGTACCTGACCGTGTGGTCTTCACATCCCCTCCACAGTAATGGAGCCTATTAGTGAATAACCCTTATCAACCTGTTATTCTCCAAACGTCTGGCCTCATTCAAAACAAATGGCCCCCGGAAAGCAAAACATACAGCGGAGATTGTGCAGGTGTGTGCATCCACATGTGTGCCAGCTGATAAAGGCGAGGAGGCGGTCGGGCTCCCGTGCGATAGAATGTTGCTGCAGACGTGCTGATGCATGTTCCTGCGGGTTCTAAGTTGTTCATGCTGCCTTAACAGGACTCAGGAACGTCAGTGACCGTGATCGTCACAGTGACATGTGAACAGCCAGCTGTACAGTGATGGAAAAATATGTGAGACAACTTGACATCTGGAAACACGGTTGTTGTTTTACGTCTCTTGTGCATACACTTGAGAAGGCCACTTTAGGTAAAGCTTGTTTTCACACAAAGCTAAAACAGAGAACATGTGAGCCCACCTTCTTCTTCTTTTTTTTTAACCATTCTTTTAAATAAAAGCCAACCTATTCTGCCTCCAGACTGAATGGTTAGGGTTTAGGTGGGGTCACACTCTTGTCGCAATTTCCTCCTGTCTAATTTTTCCTCCGTCCACCTTGAAGAGAAGACATAAATCAGGGTAGTGAATGGCGTTTATTGTACTTAGTGAGCGGAGGTGTTCTCACCCTTTGTAACACAGCCAAAGCTCCTGCGCAATAAATGTCAACGGTTGGGTTTCTAGAGTGTTAGGTACAGCATTTAGCGAAGGTACATTGTGTTCAGGGGAGTTTGTCACCTCGGAGAAAAGGTCCCATATTGAAGCTATCATCATTAGAGCAGTTACCAGCAGCCGTGCTGCTGCTTTTACACATCTACATCTTTCATCCTGTAGCACGGTTTTACACATCTACATCTTTCATCCTGTCTGAGAATAAGAGCTGACAGGTGCTGCAGTCTTAACGCACAACGCCTCCTCCACGTATTTTCTGTTTTTTACCTTTTCAGTATCCCAATGGAAGCAGTTTTCTTTAAGTTGATGGAATGCGGCGTGCATCATCGCCGACTTCTTCACAATGTGTTGGACAGATGCATTAGCCGTAGCGTGTATTGAATGACTCTCATATTCTGATGATCTCTCCTCACACAGTTTACAGCTTGGACCGTCAGTGTACTGTAGTGTTCACCCGTTGAACAGATGTAATTCCCACAGTAGAGCTTCCACAGGGGCCGAACTTGACATTGAATCGTGTGTGCAATTAGAGAGCTGTGAAAAACTGTGATGCAATAAGCATTGAAAATGTGATTCTAACCATACACGGCGTATTAACAGTGAAGCCCAAGGCATAAACCATAAAGAGCAGGGAACCACTTGTGCTCACTGATAGAAAAATGAATAATTTCTAACTCGTTAAATGGAAAATATTGTTTTCACCCAATAACAATTTTCAGCTTTTTCAAATTAATATAATCCCATATAATTAAATTACCAGCACATTAGAAGAGAATGCTTTATTGTTGATCCTTTCTTTTCTGTCTCCCTCACAAATCCCTTCATAAACTGCTTCAGAACTCTGCCGCTCCTCACTTCACTACAACCCTCTCCTCCAGTCACGTTGCTCCCATAATTCATCATCGTCATTGGCTCCAGGTCAAAGATTGCATTGTTTACAAAACTCTGCTGTTAACCTTTGGAGGCCGCCCATAACCTCACTCCTCAGGCACACTCCAGACAGTTCCTCACCCTGAGGTCTTCTGCCTCCGATCGGCTTCACCCATCAATCCACCAAGGAGGCGCCGGCCTTCAGCTGCTCTAACTAGATATCCATAACTTTCCATTTTCAAATGTGGCCAAAACAAAACTTTTTAACAGGCTTATAGGATGATTATTTGGGATTGTTACTACTAATACTATTTTATTAATGTTACTATCAAAAAAGATGATGATACACCATGTATAAAAACACTTACACGAATTGAACTTATGAAGTATTGATGCAATACAAAACACTTAATGAACTTATGAAGTATTGATGCAATACAGAAAATGGCAGGAATCCTTGTGTATTCCTCTGTGTTACACGGTGCAGTTAAACATGTGAAAAACTGGAATGAGTTAAAGACATAATGGTGTGAGAAAATGGATGGAAAGATTGGATAGGAAAAGGCTGGGCGTAACATGAAAGAGGCCCTGCACCACAGGCCTGTACGGTCGGTGTTTTCATGTCGTCACTCTGAGTCAAAGGACAGTCTGTCTGCTCCGCCTGACATTATCTTTCTTCGTCTTTAATCTGATGGAGATGCCTCTATTTTCTTCCCTTCCTCTGTCGGGAGGCTTTCTTCTCCTTTCATGCTCTTCATGCCAGCCTGTGCAGCCTGGACATTTGGTAAAAATGTGATGAAAAGCAGGTGCTGTGAGCAATCTGTCTCATCACACATGTGATTTGACAGTGTAATTGCCCTGCCCTCACTTTCCTGACACCCCCTGCTGTACTGCTCCATTTGGGGTCAGATCTCAGGCTGGTGTAACACATCAGTCATTGAACTCAGTACATAATCATTATTCCCCTGGGCATTCATTAATCAAAATTAAGACATACGAGTAAATAACAACTACATTTTCCCCAAATTAAAAACATATTCTTATTGATCATAGATATTTTTTAACCATCTGAAGGGATTTCTTTGAATAATGCTCAGAGATTGCATCAATTCAATTGAAGTTATCAATGGTCACAGACAGGACATTGTTGGTCTTATGAATGTACTATCTCAAAATTATCCCCAAAGTAAGATCTTGAGACTAACTGACAATGTGTTGTGGTAGTTTAAAGTTTCATCAAAGAAAAAGCAAATTTCAGCAAAATTATGTACAGACTTTGCCCTAGACTGAATGCAAATTAGATAAATATTATTCGCATGATATTGTTGTCTGAAGAAAGAGGTCAAAATGGCTGACAGATTAGCTCGTCTGCATCAGTAAGTTTTTGTGTTTGTTGTAAGCCCAGGATGGGCAATATTTTTTCATTATTTGGAATTGTATTTATTTTTTTGCAACCCTCAATTATCCCTTGCTTCTTTATTGATTATAGGATACACTGCTTCATTGTGAACTTGCCAATATTGCGGTTAAACAACTTCCACAAGACGCATCTCTATTGGCCCTGACCTGTCTGGTTTTATTTACCCGAGCAGCTCTGTGTTTAGAGTCTGTCCAATCCTGTTAGTTGCATACATGTGTTGTTTAGTTTTATGTGGTGTGAAGAGGAAATGCTTTCGCCTCATCAAAAGGCCTGTTTCATGTTGCTTAGGTATTAACAGTGGATGGCAACCAAAGAAAACACAAGCCCACCTGGCTGTTTGGATGAAGTGAAGCAGAACACACACGTACACACACCTGATAATTTTCTCCTTTTTATTTGTCTCTGTCAGAGGAAGTTTTCTCCGTTCGGCATGTGAGTTTGAAGGAGGAGAAAGAGTCCTTAACCAAGCAGCAGAAAGAATGCACCGCCAAGAGGTATGTGTTAACCTGTAATTAGCTATTGCTTTATTTTTGCATGGAACACACATTTTTGAAATGCCCTGATCCTTCTGCGGGGGGCCCAATCATTGGTGTGATCCAGTGTTTGGCTCAAAAGTACTGAACTGCGATGAGGTTACATCCTGCACTCGGCCTCCCACCTTACAAAACAAGGGGATGTTTTTGTGGTCGCACTCGTCTATTTATGTTATCTCAGAGTTTGCACGTTGTGCTAAAAATCCCTATCAGCCTGTGTTTGCCTTGGCCTGTGCACAGACCTGGGTGGAGGAGTGTAGCCCCACCTCAACTAGCTGGTAGGTGTAAGAAAATTCCAATTTCCAGGAAACCGTATATTCCCTCAAAGACCCTGAAATAAAAAAAAAAACCCAGAAAATCCTTATAATCTTATCCTTCTTTTAGCTCTAAAAAAACAAGGGAATGGCAGACACAGTGTAATTTTTAATTAAAAATTAGATTTAAGGGCCTCTACCAGGAGATAACAATTTTTAGAGCAAATGTGAGTGTGACTGATTTTATTTAGATTTTTAACTATAAGGTTTTAAATATCAAGATGCAGCAGCCTCTGTAGTAGTGAACATATCTGTAATGGATTCTGCACGGGTATTCATTTAATGGGTACATGTTATTACCTTTTTTATGCATTTAGAAAGAAATTGCAAAATATTTTATATTAATATATACTGTATATGCCTAGTATTGAGTGTTGTTATTATTTATAATAATAATAAGATAAATTATATCATTACAAATTGTACTGGTGCTATTACAAATTGGGCTGCAATAATTATTTAACAATTTGAATAAAACAAATTAAATTATAAATTCAATATAAACATTTATTAATTATTCTTAAAATTAACAGTTTTAAATACATCCATAAAATTAAAACACATTTTCTTTATATTTGTTTGTTTTTGTTCTTGTGTCTTTTTCCCTTATATTACACATAATATAGACACATTATAAAGTTACTAATATATTTGTTTTGTTTTTATTGACTAAATAATTAGTTGGATAATTTAAAAAACAAATGTGTTCACTATCAAACCAATCATTATCAATCACGCTGATAGTAGAAGTGCACAATAAAAACGTCTAATACTGTATATATCATACTAGTCGAAATACACAAACAATATTTTTTCCCCACAGTATTATTTCGTTCGTAACATTACATATGAGCAAAATCAAGATGGCGCCTCTCCTGTAACAGCTTGTTACATCCACATCCGTTAGAACTCTGTTGAATGTAAACTAGATATTCATAATTAAACGGGAGCCTTGTTCCACAAACCAGAAAGTAATAGTGTTTATTGCCAACATAGCCAGGATGTTCATCAACCCCAAAGTATTCCATGGCTGCAGGCATACACTACAGATTGCAGTGTCCAAGAAAACCAGGCCTGAACATCACAGTGCCTTTGATCGTGACTACATGTATTGAATGTGGCAGATCCTCATCGGCCAAATCAGGTCAACCCTGGTACACACCGCTCGGTCTCCGCTTCTACGTATACAAAGTGTCCGCAAGCAATTAAAGACTAATGATAAGACGCTGCTGACCACAGGCAAAACCACATCGGAAATTCTGGTGAAAGGTGAGGAGCAGTAGTGGGAGGATACATCATGTTCAATTAACTGTTCTTGGGCGAAGTCTGTTTCTGTCCGCGTTCAGTAAGGCACTTTGTGTAAATGTCACAAGTAAGAGATGGACAAAAGGGAGAAAAAGTCAGACACGATATGTCATCATACTGTTTGTCAGGTGAGTGGATTTGTTCTACTGTGTTAGGGATCGTCACAGTGAATATACATTCATGTTTTTTCATGTGGTTTTTTTTTATATTGCAATAATTTCTACATCATTAGGCCTGTCCAATAGTAACAATTTTCAATCTGATTATTTACAGAATAGCATTGGTTTTATCACAATTAATCATGATGAATCATGGTCCTAATTATTCATGGTAAAGGAACAATAAAGTAATGAAGTTATGTCACACTGGCTGCTTCTGGTGTGAATACAGTCAAATTCTTTTTCATGGATCATAACTGTGGAATATTTTGCCTGCTTTAATAACACGACAAGTTCTTTATATAGTGTTTTCACAGTTTAGGTCTAAAATGACTTGTTGATTGGCTGAGGTGTTGTTGCAGATGCTTCTTTTAAATGTGGCTCCTCTCTCCGTTGTCTGCTGCCCAGACAGAGAGCAGACTGACATTGTCCTGCTGTCACATTGTTGCACAGCACACATAAACTGTCTGTCTCTTCACTGTATTTTCTGTTACCTTCAGGGCTTGGAGTCATCCCCACAGGAGCAGTAACTCTGCTGCAGTATTTCACCTTCACCTTCTCATCTTTTTTTAGCTACAGCTCGTAGTTTATCTCTGTGCTTTGTCTGCTCCATCTTTGGTCGCTCTCCATTCTCTAACTCTCACTCAAACTTCAACTTCCTTGTTTCTGGTTCGGTTTCTCCAGAGAGCAGTTCCTCAAGTCCAACGCTCAGCTCACCTTCCGCTGTCGTCAGCTCCTCTCTGAGCTCTCCTACATCTATCCCATTGAAGTGGTGAGTAGGACGTGTTGGTACTGTTGCACAGTGGAGCTGCACAGTGTCTTCCCCTATCTAGTCTCAGTACAGGCAGCCCTGTCTGACACTTTTTATAGCCTATTTAAATACAACAAACAAACCATGGATGGTGCATTCAAGGTTGCCTCAGTAAAATATTTCTACACTTGCATATAATTGTTGAAACAATGTTTCAACACTTTCCATATGTGGGATTAGTAATCTAATCAAATCTAATCTAAACAATGACCAATATGTTGTCTAGATATAAAAATATTTTATTTTTCAGTGGAATCAGTGGAATCATCATATTCTTTCTGGATGTTATTCTGCATGTTATTTGCATTATATTTTATTTTATACCACAGTGAAAATTGATAAAGGAATTAATGGTGAATTAAATTGATCAGTGATATTGATAATGAAATCAGAACTGTTAAATAAGTGGCAAACAAAAAAAAGGTCACAATGTTTGGTATAATTACACATTGTCACTCAAGGTAATCCTTTAGCAGACGTATTAGGTTCTGTCGTAAACACAGAGCAGGAAAGTTTCTCCTCCCTCCCCCCTACATGTCAGCGAGCTGAGTCCACTGGAACCGCATTGTTCAGTGCTGTCTAACTCTGTAAGCCAGTCAGACTTCTTCACCAGAGCAAGTGAACATAAAAGAGTCACAATCACTCTGCAGATCAAAGCCGTGCTCCTCGTGGTGGATATGTTTGTGCCAGGGGTTAATCACAGCAGGACATGTGATCTAGATCTAACTCATGGTTACGACTGTACAGACGTCGGTCAGAACACATGCATGCAGACACACACAAACACACACAGTTTTATTTC